CTTGCTGCCCAGAGGGCACCCACACCCACCCCTCACAAGGCTGCACATACTGCCCAGGGCCTGCGGCTGACTTGCTGGGTTTCCTCACAGGCTGTGAGCTGCCACCTCTATGTCCTGAATTCTCAGGTGTCAGGGTCCCGAGAGGTGATAAGTATGCAGTAGACATGTGCTGACTGAGTGGCCCTGCCCTGGTCCAGGTGGCCATCCTCTCGCAGAGACAGAGCCCTCAGGTCCAAGAAGACCCCTCCATTTGAGGAAGTGCCGCAATCTGATGGAGAGCGTGAGGACTCACCACAACTGCACGCTGTGGATATTGGTGTTGCATTCTCCAAACCTCAATTTCTTCATCCTGAAAAGTGGGGTTTTACTACCCAAAACAAGGTAGAGTTGTGAGGATTACGTGAGATTGTATATGTCAGCTCCCAGATAGACAAGAAAGTATGTGGCAATCTCCATGTCTTCTCTCCTTGCCTGAGTGCCTCACCTCCTTTCCCTGGGCAAGTGGGGCACGCTCTCTCTCTGTATTGCTCCTGCCTTGCACGGTTCACTCAAGGCTACTTCCTTCCAGCGCACTAATTTGCCACCCCTCTCTGTGGCAGGAGGAGCTGGAGCACCTGAACCAGGCCAGCGAGGAGATCAACCAGGTGGAACTTCAGCTGGATGTGAGTGTTTTCTTCCTTGTGTGCTTGGGCTGGTCCTTGGAAGCATCTCTGTCTCTTTCCCAGATTGAGGCAGTGGCAGTGGGAGGGGTGTGTCTGAGAAACGAGAGGAGCTGGGACCCAAACATGTGCCTTTCCTTTGCCTTGTTCCTTTCCAGGAGGCCAGGACCACCTATCGGAGGATCCTGCAGGAGTCGGCGAGGAAACTGAATACACAGGGTTCCCACTTGGGAAGCTGCATCGAGAAAGCCCGGCCCTACTATGAGGCTCGGCGGCTGGCTAAGGAGGTATGGCTGGCTGACCCATGTCTGCGGAAGGCTACATGCTGAGCCTGTCCCTGGATTCTTCCGTCTCTATGTGAAGTGAGAGACAAAGCACCAGACCTGAGGGCAGAACCCTGGGCTAGACCTGCTGGTCGGAACAAGCTCTGTGGGCTCAGAGGTTCCTTTACCACCGTGGGCCCTGGGCTCATGGTCTATAAAATGGTAAGGGAGGGTGTGGGAGAACATTTAGTTCAGCCCTGCTAATATTTAAGTGCCTTCTGCGTATCAGGAACCAGGCTTTAGGGTATATCAGATATGTCAGTTCTAACATCCCACTGTTTTCATCTACTGCCATTTCCTCTTCCCTTTGGTTCATGTCTCTCTTCTGAATCTTTGCTTTGCTTTCTCCTCACTCTTTTCCCCATCCCACACCCCTTTTTTTCTGTAACAAATTATTTTTAACAAATAGTGTGTGTTCACCTTTGGAAAAACATAATAAAATAAGAAGGAAACAAAAACCACCCAAAATCCTACCATGCACGTTTCATGCATTTTGTTTCCTGGGATTTGCTTTCATCCTGCATGTTGAGGTGACAGATACAGAGACAACTGCCTTGGAAGAAGAGTTTGTTCCCAAGAGGAGGGGACATACCATGCCATGCAGGGCCACACTGGGAAGCAACTGGGGTCCTTCAGGAGGCGGAAGAAGTGAAGGAGAAAGCATAGCGTGGAGCCTTATTGTGATTTTTGTGGAAAGGAGTAGGTGAGGCAGGGTAGACAATTTGGATAAGCTTAGGAGTGGATAGTTGGAATAATTTTGCTAGGCCCTGGGCTATAGGGGTGGCCTCTAATTGTCTAGTACCTGGCCCTGGGATGACTTAGGGCAGAGGAAATATTGGCTTGGTGGGTGAGAAGTAGGTAAAGGAGCTAGTTGGGGATCCAGGCTTTGGATTGGTTGGTTGGTTTGCATGTGAAAGGCACACTTACAGGGGAGGTTACTGTCTCTAGGAAGTAGCCCTGGAAGGGGCAGTTTCTCCTTGGCCAGCAAGGTCCCCCAGACATCAACGCATCGTAAAGTGTAGAAAATAAAAGTACGATTAACAGAGCACAGATAACCATGTGCTCATGTCTTGTGTCCGTGTGTGTATGTGTGTGTGTGTGTGTATATATATCCGCCAAAATGAGATTACACGGTGTGTGCTGTTTCGTTCTTTTACTAGCATTATCACATGGTTCCAGGTCAATCACTATACATCCATGCTGTCATTTTAAAGGACTGATTAGTGAATATTTCATTTTTTTAAGAGATGGGGTCTTGCTCTGTTGCCCAGACTGGAGTACAGTGGTGTGATCATAGCTCACTGTAACCTCAAACTCCTAGGCTCAATGATCCTCCTCCCTCAGCCTCACAAGTAGACGGGCTCACAGGCAGAAGCCACTGCGCCCAGCTTATTTTCTTATATTAGATGTACTGTTATTTATTTAACCAATGTCCTGTAACTGAAGAGTTAGGTGTGTTTCGTTTTTTGCTGGGTTGGTGTGGCTGTGATGACTGTCTCTGAACTTGTCCGATTATTTCCTTCAGCTTGCCTGCTGAACATGGAATTGATGGTCTCAAGGTCATCTTTTCTGTAAGACTCTGTCCATGTTGCTAACCACCTTACACTAAAATGGTTTGTATTTTCCTTTGTTTTCCCTAGGCAAAAGGCTAGCAGCCTTTGGGAGTGCTGGATTTCACACGCCTACCCTCCACTGGCAAAATTTTTATTTCTTCTAGTCCATATCCTTATGAAATATTCTTTATAGAATGTTGCTTCCTTGGCATTTATCCTCAGCACAGTTTGCGAAATGAAGCCGACATTGCTAGCAGGCCTTCCTCCTTCTCTTACCTCACATCTATTACGGGTGTCCATGGGCAGCTGGGGTCCCTCGGGATTCCCCGTCCTGATATCCCTCTCCCCCCAGGCTCAGCAGGAGACCCAGAAGGCAGCGCTGCGGTACGAGCGCGCCGTGAGCATGCACAACGCTGCTCGGGAAATGGTGTTTGTGGCTGAGCAGGGCGTCATGGCCGACAAGAACCGACTGGACCCCACGTGGCAGGAGATGCTGAACCACGCCACCTGCAAGGTGAGGTGGGCGGTGCCGGCAGGTCGCCTTCGCTGGTTCTCATCCATTCTGTGCTATGTCTTTATCACCTCACCTCCTCACTCTTTCCTCCACTCTCGCCGCCTTTCAACTTTGATTCTGTTTCAGGCAAAACCTGGTCCTCGTTTTCTGTCCTGTTTGGCCTCCAGTGCCTCCCATATTCCACCTCCCTCTGACTTAGAATGTCATCCTGGGCTCTCGAACGTTCGCCTCCAGGTGTGGGACTAACCCAAACAATTCATCCCTGGTGGATACTCTGGATTCAACATTCACATTTTGTTATGTTTAGCTGTGTGACTCCTCGCGTCTGTTTTCAGAATCTGCTCCCTTTCCTGCTTTTGAGCTCTGACAATACACTTCGAGTTTTGAAGTATAATTTATGTATCATTTCCAAGCCCCTGAAAGGGGACTGGGGAGCGAAAGGATCTCTGCCATTGGCCCTGTCTGCCACCTTCAGCTTGCACAGGGCAGGTGTCAGCTCCTCAGGGGGTGTTTGTGGCTTGTGATTCTTCATCTGCCCCTCCCAGAACAGGCACCTCACTTCTACTCTAGAGCTCATGCAAATGAGAGCACACAGCACTGGGGGAGGGGTTAGCGGAGGGTGTACAGTCTAGGGCTACCCCGGAACAGGGAGCAGGTGAGGGCTCCAGCCACTCTGTCTACCAGGACAAGTGGGCCAACTGTCCAACACCCTGAGCAGAAGCACCCCAGAGCCCCATCCAGCCTTGGCCCACGTGTCCTGGACGGTGCCCACATAGGGTGTGGAAACCTGGAGAACCCAGTGTACAGCTGTGGCTCCCCACACGGGCTCTTCTCATTCCCAGATCCCTAACCGTTGGCACTGAGGGCTCCCTGAAGAGAGTGGCTGCTGCAGATGTGTGATGTGCTGACACATTCCCTTGATGCTCAAGTGGTTGAGTGGGCGCCAGCGTCCCTTTCCTGGCAGCAGCAAAGCTGAGTAGCCAGTGGTGCAGGTGACAGGAGGCAAGAACATGGGAAGAGGTGGCTCAGAGGCATGTGCCTGTGATGTGGTCCTCAGTGGTCAGGCAGCAGATCCAAGAGACACAGAAATAAGCTCTCTGGAGGCTCACAGACGCTCTGTTCCCCTGCGTGTCTCGGGCTCTGTACACAGTTGGGGGTTTGCAGAGGATGTTCCTGTTTGGGTTCCCCCCAGGGCATTGTTCAGGTTGGCAGCCTGGGGCAGATGCCAGAGACTGAAGCCTGGGTCCCGGCTCAGTGATGTGTCCCTCTGGGCCAGGTGAACGAGGCGGAGGAAGAACGGCTTCGAGGTGAGCGGGAGCACCAGCGAGTGACTCGGCTGTGCCAGCAGGCTGAGGCTCGGGTCCAAGCCCTGCAGAAGACGCTCCGGAGGGCCATCGGCAAGAGCCGCCCCTACTTTGAGCTCAAGGCCCAGTTCAGCCAGATCCTGGAGGTAGCTGAGTGGGTGAGGGGGAGGAGGAATGGCTAGGTGGGGGTGCAGGCGGGGGCAGGCATGGAAAGTGAGGGCAGCTGGAGGGGATGCTGGTCGGCCTCTCTGGGCCATCTTGGTGAAGTGGCCAGGGTGAGGCCTGCGGCCAGTGGTGGGGAAGGGTGGTGGCACACATGTTCCAGATGACCTTGCAGGAGTGGGAGGCAGGGATGGGGGCTGGTGACGGCGCGAACGTAGTTGGAAGAAGGGAGGTAAACGAGGAAAAGAACTGGTAGAAACCCAGGGATGGGGAAGAAGAACCAGCCCTGGGGTGAAGGGGAACAGTGGGGAGAGGATGAGGAGCAGGAGCTGGTGGAGAGGAAGGCCCTGGAAGGTGGGGCCCAGGTCAGGAGCAGGATTGCTGGGAAGAACAGCCCAGAGAGCGAGTGGAGCTGGGAAGGGTGTGGTGGGTCTGTGGTGGGTGCTGAGCCAGCTGTCCAGGTACTCGGGGTCGGGGGGAGCAGGCCCTCAGACCCCAGTGCAGAGTGCTGGGTAAGGTGGGGCGTGCACCACGGGTCGCCTGACTCTGTTCTGTCCTCTGCAGGAGCACAAGGCCAAGGTAACAGAACTGGAGCAGCAGGTCGCTCAGGCCAAGACACGCTACTCAGTGGCCCTTCGCAACCTGGAGCAGATCAGCGAGCAGATCCACGCGCGGCGCCGCGGGGGTCTGCCTCCCCACCCGCTGGGCCCTCGGCGCTCCTCCCCCGTGGGGGCTGAAGCAGGACCTGAGGACATAGAGGACGGAGACAGCGGGATTGAGGGGGCCGAGGGCGCGGGGCTGGAGGAGGGCAGCAGCCTGGGGCCCGGCCCCGCCCCCGACACCGACACCCTGAGTCTGCTGAGCCTGCGCACGGTGGCTTCGGACCTGCAGAAGTGCGACTCCGTGGAGCACTTGCGAGGCCTCTCGGACCACGTCAGTCTGGACGGCCAAGAGCTGGGAACCCGGAGTGGAGGGCGCCGGGGCAGCGACGGCGGAGTCCGTGGGGGTCGGCACCAGCGCAGTGTCAGCCTGTAGTGGAGGGACCGGCGTTCCTGGCTTGAATCTGCTGTCCTGGGCCGGTCGGGGCCCCCAGGCTTCTCACGCCCTCTCCTCTGGGGCCTTGGCTTCCCGGAGGTCCCCTTCTCCAGTGCTTCCCTGGAGAGGCCAGCTGTGTCGAGTCCTCTGTGCCTGCCCTGGCGTTCTCACAGCCTCCCCCTTCCCTTCAGCAGGCAGCTCTGTTTGCCTTACCCGTCCGGAAGGCTTGCCCTCGGCGCTCTGCCTGCCCCTGCTGCTGGCTCATCGCAATCTGCAGGGCATTGACCCTTTGCTTTCCCTTTCTGCTCCCTCTCTTTCCATCTGTTTGGCTTTTTCCCTCAGGGAACTGGGTCTGGAAGGCACTGGGAAGCTCATCAGAGAAAATGGGTGCTGGGCCTGCGTACTCCGGTCGGAGGGGACGGACAGGCACCCTCCCGTTGGTTTTCTGGCCCCGCCCCCCTTCCCAAGGCAGCTCTGGAGGGCACCCTGGATATGCTGCTGCGCCCTGCACCCCCGTCCTGTTCCAGCCCGCGCGTGTGTAACCTGTAAGACGTGCTGTGTGCCTCTGGAAGACACCACCTTTCCCTCCAGCGTTCCCTCTCATGAGCCGAGGCGCTCTGCAATGTGTGCCCCAAAGCAGAGCTTACAGAACCTGCAGGAAGCTGGTGTCAGGGAGAGAAACCCAACCCCACTGTCAACATAGGGAACATCACCCACTCCAGACTGGCTCCTGTGGGTGCGGTGTTTCCGCTGGGCTGGGTTCTCAACATTGCCAAGGTGCTAGTGGGTCCCTAAGAGGGCCCGTGGTGGGGGTGAAGTCACGAGGTCCTGAAGGCTTAGGCCCGTCATTCCCACCCTCACTTGCTGCACAGTTGTGTTTACTTTTTCTGGGTAGAGGATGCTAAACTGACTTAGCACCCTCCTGCAGGGCGGGGTTAGGGAATTTGGTGCTCAATTGCTGTCCCTTGCTCTTACCCAAACTCAATACCTACCGCAGGATCCCTCGGGGCACACTCAAGCTTGGCTGCCAACCCTCTTCACTTCCTTTGTTACAGGGAGGGGTTGGCTTGGGGTGAAAAGTCCTGCCCTCCGTTGGGAGCAGCTCCAGCTGCCTGGGACAGTGCTCCCAGTTTGTAGGGAAGCCACACCAGATCTGGGTGCCTAGGGAGAACCGGTCCTTCCTTTTGACCCACCCCAGGATAGTGGAGAGCTCTTGTCTAGGCCCATGTTCTGCCAGCGACCGGGATGAGTGGGCATCTGGACTCCACACGGGGTCTACAGGTCGAGGGAGGTTGGTCACGATGAGAACCTCGGGGTTTGAGGTGGCCATGGGCAGAGAGCAGAAAGGGAGGGAGGGTGTGGGTGTGCGTGCGTGCATGTGCTGGTGTGTAAGGGGGAAAGGGTCTTTACTGGTTTTATTTAAATAAAGTAGTTTATGTAACAGTTAACTTCTACTGTCCTTGCTGGAGGAAGAGAAAAGGCACAAAGATGAGGCAAGGGTTGGGGGAGGAAAGAGCAGGGTGAGGCGACAGGCTCTTTAGATGGTGTGGTCAGGGAAGGGAGGTGAAGGACCAGATTGAGTGAGCCGCGCTATGCATGCTCTTGGAGACGTGCAAGGCCCCATGGCCAGGGTGGTCATGTACAGGGCAAGTGTAGACAAGCAGGGGAGGAGTTGGTGCCTCGTGGGGCCATGCTATGCGAGGTGACGGGTGCCAGGAGAGGGTTTGGTAGAAAGGGGCCTGCAGGGTGGAGTGGGCTCTGAGCTAAGAGATGAGAGTGCCAGAGGGGTGGGATCTTAGATGTGTCTGGATGTGAGCATGAAGGCAGAGGAAGGACAAAAGTAGTGATGCCAGATTTATCAATACAGTGTATCCACTTAAATTTCAGGTAGGTGGTATTTTTGTCCACTGCAGTGTTTAGGATGTAAGTGACATTATGAATTATCCATTGTTTCTCTGAAATTAAAACCTAGATAAAAGGTGACTTCCAAGTCAGGGCTTGACTGGCTGAGGGGTGGGAGGGGTTTGAGGGCACTTGAACTCACAGGTGGGAGATTGGATAGGGATGTGAACTCCAGGAGCTTTGAAGAAGAGCAAAAGGCTTTGTTTAGCCTGAGCTGCACTTGGGGTGTGCCAGTGTTTGGAGTTTTGTTGAGAAGAGGTCAGCCAAGGGAAGAAGAAGGTGCTGGCAGGGAGGAAGACCGGAAACCATGGAGGTCAGGGGGCAGGATGAAGGCCAAGAATTGGAGGCACACCATCAGAGCAGTGACCCTGGTGGCTGTGGACGCCATCCAAGGGGCCATCTGGGCCACCGTGTACTGAGCACTCACTGAGCCCTCGAACGGGTGCTGTCCGGGAGTTTGAGCCTGCCTTCCCTGACTTGGCAGATGGGTATCATAATATTTTATTACTAGAGAAGCTGCTATGAAAATGCATGGCTTATGTTTTTGGGTGAGTGGGCTTTAAATTTTTTTAATTGTATGTATAGGAGATGTACACCATGGTATTTTGATGTACGTAATGAAATAGGTATCGAATCGACACATCAGTCATTTTGCACAGTTACCTTCCCCCTTTTTTTGTTGTAAAACCACCTAAAATCTACTCTCAGCTCATTTTCAGTCTATGATAATGTATAGTCCTAATGAGGGGCTTTCTGAGATGGCACACAGTGCTGGACTTCCCTACCCAGTCTGGCAGGCAGGACCTGTGAGGCTCCTGGTGCAGAAGAGCCCCAGAAAAGAAGGGCTGTGCCATGCACATGCTGTTTCTCCTTGCAAAACCACCTACAAGATAAGGCAGGCGGGAAGAGAGACCAGGAAGGTTACAGCCAATGGTAACCTTCTAAGGAGAAGAAAACAGAAGCTACAGTGCTCCCTTGCTCCCATCCTCGTCATAGTAGCTTGTACTCACCCAATGCATTTCACGTACCAGGGACACCCCTAATTAATCTCCACAAGACTGTTATGGAACAGATAAACACTATGATTTCCTTTCCACAGTGAGAAAATAAGGCACAGTGGGGGTACTCAGCCTTGCTGAAGGTGACGGAGGCAGCTGCTCTAGGCGCTTGGATTCTAGAGTCCAAACACTTGAGCCCTTGAGCTCACAGGAACAGGAGGTGGGGAAGTGGGTGTCATCTCCGAGGAGGTTCTGCTGGGAAGAAGAGCTGAGAAGTGGGAGTACTGTGTCTTAGCTCCTTCTCCCAGCAAAGAGGGTCCAGAAATTTTGTTTAAGGTGAGGAAGAGATGGTCAAGGTGTGGGGGACGTAGGGCCTCATGCCCCATTCCTGTACCGTGTCCTGTTACACGTCATATTGGCTGGTTGGTAATGAATTGTTCTGATCTTCATCTTCCTTAAGTGTGGGGCTGGGGCCTCAGTGTATCCAACACCTGACACAGGCCCTGCACCAACAGATGCTCAGGAAATGTGCTTTGGCTTCTTGCCCCTTCTCTTAGCCCACAGCTGTATCAGGTGAGTTAATCAGCACAGCAGTTCGGAGGTCAGGACCTGGTGATGTACAATCCCAGGGTCACATCTCTACAGGAATTCTCACATTTCGTGACCCTGCAATTTTATCGCCTATAAAATGGGAGCACGGAGGCACCTGTGGCACGTGCTGCGTCAGTGGATCTGAGGTGCAGCAACTCTTTGCAGCCTCAGGGCGCTTAACTTACGGAGGCTTCATCCCATCTTGCCCTAGGCACGTGGACTCTATAAAAGGGTTGTGTTTCCCTCCTTGTCTGGATGTGATTTTTGACAAGCATGACAACCCCACTGCCTTTTTTTAAAATTTAATTTTTAATTTTTATTTTATTATGAGACAGGGTTTTGCACTGTTGCTCAGACTGGAGTGCAGTGGTGCAATCATAACTCACTGAGGCGTGGAACTCCTGGGCTCAAGCAATCTTTCTGCCTCAGCTTCCCTAGTAGCTACGACCACAGATGCACACCACCATACCCCGCTAATTTTTAACTTAATTTTTTTTCTTTTTTTTTCCTGTAGAGATGTATTGCAATGTTGCCCAAAATGGTTTTGAGCTCTTGGACTTAAGCAGTCCTCCCACCTTGACCTCTTAAAGTGCTGGGATTAGAGGCGCGAACCCCTGTTCTTTGCCTGTGTGTGTGTGTGTGTGTGTGTGTGTGTGTGTGTGTGTGTGTGTCACTCGTTCTAGCCCAGGCTGGAGTGCAGTGATGTGATCTTGGCTCACTGCAACCCCGACCTTCCCAGCTCAGGAGATCCTCCCACCTCAGCCTACCAAGTAGCTGGGACTACAGGTATGTCCCTCCCACCATGCCCAGCTAATTTTTGTATTCTCTTGGAGGCGGGGTTTCCCTGTGTTGCCCAGAGTGGTCTTAAACTCCTGGGCTCAAACCATCCACCTACCTCGGCCTCCCAAATTGCTGGGATTACAGGCATGAGCCACTATGCCTGGTTATGCTCCCAGCCTTTAGACATCTTTTAAGATTGACATATTGTAGTTGCACGTGTTTATGGGGTGTGGAATGAACCCACCTGTAGAGGATCCCTGGCCTGGCAGAAAGAGCGGCCGGTGGCCTTCCTGGGCTGTCAAGGTCTTGCTGTGTCGGCAGGGGGCAGCAGCTGCCAGAAAGTGCGCCGAGCCTTGCGCTGCGTTTCTCTGCTCGCGCTGCGCGTTGACCCTCCAAGCCTGCGTGATCAGCCTCATGGGCACTTTGCAGAAGGGCCTGAAAAACTGCACATAGAAGGGTGGGGGTGTGTATACATCAGAATGGAACCCCATGTGTACTTCTCAGGGGCCTCTTGCATTCCCATATGTCCTCGGAATCGCCTACTCTGTGTGAGAGCTGGCTCGAGTCTGCAGCGCAGCTGGTCTTTGGAGGTAAGATGTTCCACATCTGCAGATGCGAACTGTTCTCCTCAGAGCTCACTTCCTTCCTGGGCCTCCCTAGTGTCTTTTCCCTCTCCCTTTCCACAGCCTCTTTATAAATTTCTCCACCCATGCCTGCTCACCATTCTTGAGCCCCAGGCTGCACCGCGTTGCTCATGCCCTGGGATAAGGGAACCAGGAGACCATACACTGGTTGGCAAATGGATATATGTAGTTTACTAAGAAATGTTCACCAGGATGGTTCAGTGTACAAACACTGTGGCAGGTCTTGTTAGGAACACTATAAACTATAATGCCACGGTGGGTCTTCCAGGTAAGGAATGCAGGTGTGCACAGGTGGTGCAGGGCAGTGAAAAATAGATAACCAGACCAGGAATGATGGCTCACAGCTGTAATCCCAATGCTTTGGGAGGCCAAGGTGGGAGGATCACTTGAGGCCCAAGTTTGAGGCCAGCCTCAACATCATAGTGAGAACCCGACTCTACAAAAAGTAAAAAAATTAGCCAGGCGTGGTGGCGTGCACCTGTAGTCCTAGCTACTCCTGAGGCTAGTGGGAGCATCTCCTGAGCCCAGGAGTTTGAGGCTGCAGTGAGCTATGATCACACCACTATTCCAGCCTGGGTGACAGAAGGAGAACCTATTTCTAAAAATAAGTAGATAACTAATGAGGGCTGCAGTCAAGGAGAAATCCGGGAGGTTACAGCCGGGCATTGCTCTCTGAAGCTCTGAAGCAACCCCTTGGTTTCAGACTGGAGAGGTGGCCCCTAGCTCCAGTCCTCGTTCTTCCCAAATCTGTCTTGAGCTCCCAGGGCCTGTGTCTCACCCATCTTGGTGTTCTCAGGACCTGGAATGTGGAAATTTTCACTGAACAGCTGTCTACTGACTGACTTCTGCTTGTGCACAAGTCTCAACCTGTCAAACTGCTGCCTGTCTTTGAGGACCAGATCATGTGGTCAAAAGTCCACATGAGCTGGGATTCAACCACAGGCAGCTCTCTAGCACAGTCCGAGTTAATCCTTATTACTCTCAAGTTCCCCATGGCTCTTCTGACTTACTGAAGAATGGGCCCGATGTTGTAGACATGTCTCTTGTTGGTCCTGAGTCCTCAGAAGAAGGGGTCAGTATCATCCCTGACTCCGTCTCACTCAACACATAACACAATAGACATATGCACAGAGACCATACGTGATGTATAGTCTAAACTGGGACAGCTGAGTGTGAAAGGGGACAGGTGTAACCTGGGACTGGCTTGCGTGATCTAGGATATATGGTCACCCTCATTCTAGGGACTCAGTAAACATTAGTTCATTTGAGAGCTTAGGTGTTAAAAACACCGACCACACTCTTCAGAGAGGGTTGTCCTTGGCCTGCCCCTGCCACAAGGGGTTGTGTGCACAGGGAAAGTTCACTCAGCTCCTCTGGGCCTCACTGTTCCAATCTGCCGGAAGTGTGGCCAGCCTCAGTAGATAATCTCTAAGGTTATCTAAAGCACTAAAATGATACAGCGGGCAGTGGAGGCTGGGCCATGCGAGGAGTTTCGATGGATGATGTGAAATGGTGCATGTGTTTGCCGAGAGG